CGGGACCGCAGACTACCTTGGAGTCCGGGGCGGATAGTGTCGTTCAGAAACCGGGACCGCAGACCACTGTGGTGTCCGAGGCCGGTCATGCCGTGCTGGGACCCGAGACGGCCGGGGGGTCTGACGCCGATCGCGCTCTGCAGGAAGCAGATACCGTCAGGTTCGAGGCCGATCGTGCCGTACTGGGACCGCAGACTGCCGGGGGCTCCGACGCCGATCGCGCTGTCCAGGAACCGGACACTGTCGGGTCCGAGGCCGATCCAGCCGTACCGGTACCGCAGACCACCTTGGGGTCCGAGGCCGGTCATGCCGTGCTGCGACCGGAGACTGCCGGGGGGTCTGACGCCGATCGCGCTCTCCAGGAAGCGGACACTGTCGGGTTCGAGGCCGATCGCGCCATACAGAAACCGGGGGCCGCCGTGGGGTCCGAGGTCAATCGCGCTGTCCAGGAACCGGACACCGCCGTGGGCTCCGAGGCCGATCGCGCCATACAGGGTCTGGAGACTGCCGTGGGGTCTGAGGGCGATCGGGCCGCTTGCGAACCAGGGTCTTCCTGCGTCCGGGCAGCTGGAAGGGAGGAGCTCCCGGAGTGCCAGGGGTCGGTTCCGGCACTGGGGAGGCTGGTGGATGCCGATGTCGCGAGGGGGGCCACTGCCGCTGTTCAGATTGGACTTCGGGGTCACCACGACGGGCCTTGTGTTGAGGGTGTGACACAGCGGGTGCCACCAAGCGGGCGGCGCGAGGAGGTACAGGTGCAGGAGCACGAATCGCCGTGGGGCGACAATCTTGGAAGGGGGACGGCGGTGGCGCGCCATGGGCGCAAAGTTGATCCTTTCTCTGATGTCTCCGAAGCGATTGCCGAACGCGGTTCCGTGGTGAGGCCAAGCCGAGCACGCCTTCGTGGGCCTAATGAAGCTCTAGCGAGCGACACTGTCCTCGCGACACTCGACACAGGTGCCCCAGTAAGGGGTGATTGTATGGTGCAAGGGAGTGCTTTGTCGCGCTCACGCACGTGGTGTCAGCGGGTGTGCATGTGGGGAGGCGATCACTGCCGCGGCCCTTGTGAGGTGCCATTGAACTCGAACTTGTTGTGTAGCGTTTGCCACACTTTTTGAGTTTTGTTGTGTTTTTGTTTACGGCAACTCTTGCGGCGCTGTTGATGTCGTTGGTGCGACCAAGACAGGCCCGCAGAGTCTATAGCTAAATGAGTGATCAAGGTTTCTGTCTCCACGAGCAGAAAGAAGTGTTGTTCCTGCTTTTAATCTTTATTTAGCAAGTCGTGGTAGAGGAGCGTGGCTGTGTTTTATTTTGTGTAATCGAACGTTTCAGCGTTGTTCAGTGTTCACCAAGCGTTGGTTTGCCGGGATTTATTGATGTTTTTGTCTTTTGGCTGCGGAATTAAGCTCTTGCGGCACCAGAGGGGTTGTTGTTGCGAGCGATCCAGGTCCTCAGAGGCCGGCTGAGAAACGGAGTGCAGTAAGAAGTGTTGTCCTTTTTTTTTTCCTCATTTTTAAGTAGCATTCGGTGCTAAGGGGGCCTGGCTTGGTAATTTCTAGCCATGCGTTTTGTTGTTTTATTTTTCGCTTCAGTTTAAGCGGGTTGTTTTTGTGTTCCTTTTAGGTTTTCGGCCATCCCGTTTTGTGACTGCTGGCTAGTCCAGAACACCTAGCGCAGTTTTCGGGGGGACGTGTAGGGATGGCCGAAGGGGCTTTGCCGAAAGAGCCCGGGGAATTGGCGGCGCGGTCACCCGAAGCGTCCTTCGGAGGCGCCCGATGTCTCACGTTTTCCCTTTGGCGGCAAGCGGCGGCCAGCTCCCGAAAGTGGAAGCAGATTTCCTCGCGTGGGAAGTAAACGAAACCTTCCAGGCTGGAGTGGGTGGTCGCCCTTGCCGCCGTGGTAATTGGGGAGGCGACCTTGTCAGGGCCATGTCGGCGACTCCGGGGAGAGAGGGAGATCTGGCCTCTCTTTGAGATGTCGGCGCGCCTTGTAGGAAAAGTTGAGTTTGAACGAGCCCGTGCGCGGAGCAAGACGTTATTCTCCCCCCCCTCCTTTTGGTGACATCGATATGCGACGGACGGGGGCAGTAAGTTGGCCACCGCTTGTTTCGCTGCTCCAAGAAGAACACCAGAGGGAAGAAAAACGTCCTTACACAGACGGGCCCGCCTCCAACGCGTCTGAGAGAAGCCGGAGCGGGAATGACAACAGCAGTAGGCATCCCACGGAACCAACCAGCCTCCCCTGCAAAACAGCTAGTGGGACTCACCCAACCCTCCCGCATACTTCTCTGGCAGCCGACCCCCACCAGCCTCGGCTCCCGGTCTCCCCAAATGATCGCGACCGTCCCCCTCCCAGTTCGCCTGAGGCTCACGCTGCTGCTCCTCCTCCTCTCTTCTCTACTCTTTCGAGAGGGCATGCGACACCAGCGCGGTGCATGTGCGGACACTCGGGGAATTCCGCGGAGGTGCTGAATGACTTTCACCAAAAGTGTGTAGCGACGGAAATGATCCTTCATCACACCTTCACTCCACTGGTTAAAGAACTGCTCTCAAGTCTGCTCGAGGCTAATCCACAAATGAAGGGAACATCCGACGAAAACCGAACCCCACAGGAAAATACTAGTACTGCCCGAGAACTATCAGACACTCAATCATCACAGCCACATTTCCGAGGGACAGAGGAGTTCCCGCTCCTGCCTTCTCGGCGGGAGACGTCTACAACCGCCGATACCGAAGACTTGGTGTCGCCCGTGCGGAGAAATATCAACCGCGATCGACCTCTGCACCAAGACATAGACACACGCATAGACCAGCTGGAAGGCGAGATGCGCGAAGTAAAGCGCTACTTGAAGACCATCCTTGACAGACTCCCACAACCCAACAATGGCCAAGACAAGTAAAGGATGCATTGTGTGGCAGTGGAATTGTCGAAGCTTGGCTCCGAAGAGGGGACACCTTCACCAGTACCTACAATCCCTACCACCAGAACGCAGACCAGACGTTTTGGCCATACAAGAAACGTGGAAGGCCATCACCATTCCGGGATACCAAGCCTTTAATCACACCAACTCATCAGGGGTCGTACGAGTCACCACGCTAGTGCGACGGAACCTACCAGCACTACTTCATTCAACCGGCATCGAAAACATCGAGCACACCTTCATCGAAATCTTGGCGGGCAAGAAGAAGAGCCATCGCAGCACGTTCATCCTCAATGTATACAGTCCTCCGAAGGCACGACACTCGTTTCACCAGCTCCTGCGCGCCGCCATAGACATGGCCAAGGGAAAAGCTCTGCTCATCGTTGGAGACTTTAACGCACCACACATGTCATGGGGCTATCCGCGGGACAGCGCTAAGGGTCGGCAGCTTTGGCAGGACATTGCCACCCTGGGACTGGACCTACTTACAGACCCGACGCAGCCAACTCGGAAAGCCACGGGCGGATACAAAGACACATCACCAGACCTCACACTCGGTCACTGCTTGGACGCAGAATGGCACAACACCCTGGAAACTCTGGGCAGTGACCACTATATCCTCAACATCCTCCTGAGACGCGGCCCTACGAAGCCCATGGGAAGGCCTCTGCGAGTGGTCGAGTGGGACACTTTCAGGCAGGAGCTTGACGAAGTGGACCGAGACGGAGAGATCAAGGACCTGGATCAGTGGACCGCAGGCATCAGAGAAGTTGAAGCCTCAGCCACAAGAAACATTCCCGAGGAAGCAAATCTGACCGCGGCGGACAGTCGGCTCCTGCACCTATGGGAAATGAAGACAAACCTTGAGGCACGCTTAAGGCGAAAGAAAGGAAATCGTCGGCTACGCAGGCGAATCGCAACATTGTACAAGACCATCGAGAGTCACGCCACCTATCTCACAACTAAGCAATGGGAAGACACCTGCAACGAGTTCGAAGGAGCTCCCAACACTCCAAAGACGTGGAACATCCTTCGACATCTCCTCGACCCCGGACAAAGCCGAACCACAGTCCGAAATCAGATGGAGTGTATCCTGAACTCATTCAAGGGAGATGGAAACGAGCTTGTCCAAGAAGTACAAAACAAGTATATCGGACGAGCTCCGCCAACACCTGCGATGGAATACACGGGCCAGCCAAACCTTACGCTAGACGAAGAATTCCGACCCTTCGAAGTCATGGCTGCGATCCGAGAGCTGAAGACCCGCTCCGCTCCAGGACCTGATGGAGTCTCCAACAAGCTACTGCGGCACTTGGATGACAGAGAGATTGACCGGCTAACATCATACTTCAACGTCTGCTGGCAAAAAGGAGAAATCCCAGAATCCTGGAGGACTGCGAAGATGGTGTTTATACCCAAGCCTGGGAAAAAACTTCAACTGGAAGCCCTGCGCCCCATTTCGCTCACGTCCTGTCTCGGGAAGGTCTTGGAGCATGTCGTACTCAATCGCCTTAACAGGTACGCAGAGGCCAACAAAGTCTTCGCGGACACGATGGTCGGGTTCAGACCCAAGCTCTCAACGCAGGACGTGATGCTCCGACTGTATCATCAGATTATGGCAAGGGAATACGCACCCAAAAGGGACACCAGAGCCATACTCGGGCTGGACATCTCCAAAGCATTCGACAATGTCAGCCACGCAGCCATCCTCCGTGGGCTAAACTCCATTGATGTGGGCGAGCGCATCTTCAAATACATACAGAACTTCCTATCAAGTAGGCAGGTGCAGGTCTCGATCGGCGGTTTCCAATCTGACCTGCAAACTCTGGGCGGAGTCGGAACACCGCAAGGAGCAGTGCTCTCTCCGTTTCTCTTCAATATCGCCATGAAAGATTTACCGACGAAACTACAAGATATCCCCAACCTTCACCACAGCATATACGCAGACGATGTCACTCTGTGGATGGTAGGAGGAAGCGATGGCGCCATCCAAGACTCGCTGCAAGAAGCTATACGCATCGTGGAAGCCTACGCTAAGGAGCGCGGACTAGCCTGCTCTCAGGAAAAGTCGGAATTGCTACTCATGGCCGGCACCACGGTAAAAACTCCCTCAGGCATCATACTGCAGGTCGGAGGCAAAGACGTCCCTCGGGTCCGGCGACTTCGGATACTCGGTCTGTGGTTGCAGGAGGATGGCAAGAACACATACAGCATCGGAGTCCTCCGTAACCACGCACAGCAAGTAGGAAGACTCATAGCAAGAATCGCCGGAAAACGGTACGGGATGAAAGAGCGGAATGTCATTCGCCTTATCAAAGCCTTCGTGATTAGCCGGATTGCCTACATTGCACCCTTCCTGGACTTGACACTCACGGAGAGGGATGCCATCGATCGCATCATCCGCTGCGTATACAAGAAAGCGCTTCACCTAACACCTTCAACAGAGACCAAGCGACTCGAGAAGCTTGGGCTTCACAACACCCTCTCGGAAATCATTGAGGCACAGAGGATAGCCCACTACGAAAGGCTATCTCTGACCACAGCGGGAAGAACCATCCTCACATCTTTGGGCATCAACTACCACCCAACAGGGCACAGTACGCGAGGCTGGCTTCCAAACGAGCTACGCGAGCAACTAAAGATTTCGCCTCTGCCTCGTCACATGCATCCAGTGCACGACGCAGGCAGACGCATGGCCAGAGTGAAGGCTCTGGAGAACACTCTACAGGAAGGCTGCGACGACTCCGAGGTGACCTATGTCGACGCAGCCTCAGCTGACAGGGGTCGAATGACCCTTGCAGTTACGAATCGCTCCGGCCAAATCCTCACGGCAGGCAGCATGTACACCAGCAACAGTGCAGAGGCAGAGGAGGCAGCCATCGCCTTGGCCCTCACCCTCAGCACCACGAAAGTCATAGTCAGTGACTCCCAGATGGCCATCCGCCAGTACATGCGTGGTCACATCTCTGACAAAGCCCTCAAGATCGCCACTGGTCATCGTCTGATTGACCACCCAGTCCGCATACTGTGGTCTCCAGCCCATGCGTCACTCCCAGGCAACGAGAGTGCTCACAGTGCAGCCTGCGCTCTTACCAACCGGGCTAGCACACCAAGTGAGCACTCGACCTTCGCCACGTGGAACCACGACAACCTCTACACCTTTAAGGGGGTGCTGGACCACTACCGAGTAGAACGCCGAGCCTACCCAGAGGCTCACAGCACTCTCAACAAGGCAGAATCCACCATCCTCCGTCAAGTCCAGACGGAGACCTTCCTCAACCCGGCGCAGTTGCACTCGTGGTACCCAGATACCTACGACCCGTCTTGCAGGAACTGTGGCGAGATCGCCACACTCCACCATATACTCTGGGGGTGTCCGGAGCTGCTTCTTCACTCGAAGGATAAGGAGTTCATCAAGCAAGCCAGGCAACCAGGCGCCTGGGAATCCTTCCTGCGGGATCCTGACCCCACGACTCAGAAAATTCTAGTCCAGCTGGCCTCGGACGCCGCCGGGAACATCGCGTCTCGTCTGTCGACCGAGGGGATCGCTTCGTCAAGGGTCTCTCCCTAAGAGAGACTCGGTTGACGCGGGGATCTAACAGTCTTGGACCCAATAAAGTCTACCTCACCTCACCCGCGGTCCCGAGGGCTCCGCGTACTTTGTCCTGCGGGGTAGAGAAGTTGCCGTGCGCGGCAACGGATTTGGCGCTGAGGCGCTTTTGTCGACGTCGGGCTGCCGTGAGCGGCAGCAGCAGCGTGACAGCCTTGTACTATATTCGTTCTTCTTTGTAAATATATCTGTCGAAAAACCTCCATCGAGTTCTCCGGCTCCTGACTGGCGAGAACGGCAGATCCCCGCACCGCCGCACGACACTCCACGGTCACCCGGCTCCATCGAAACCCGAGGGAGACGACGGAGTGCCGGGAAAACCACCATCACTCCTGGAAGGAAGAATCTTTACTATGCTAGTGTCGTTACTCTGAAGCGTAGCTTATTTAGTGGCAAATTCTCCATAGCACCATCTATTTTCTTCTTCTAGCGGCACTAGTAAGTACTTTTTAGCCGCTGCTATCAGATTACGTTTACTCAATTTTTGCGCTTCGGCAAAGGCTTGTGGAATTTGTAAGAGACTTTAATTCCGTCGTAATATTGACGGGCAGACTAGGCCCGCGCAATTCGTCTTAATAGACCCTTTCCGAAATTCAGCCTGGCCGCTCTGATCACTATCATCATTTGTGGAACGGCATCTGTGCCGTACCAATGGCGGCCTTCTGGTGACTGATTAAGGAAGACGTTGAAGATGCTCCTAAGCGGATGATGCGAGGCCTGTAAATTTGGGGGTTCATATGGTGCGACGTAGCAATGGAATACAAGAGATATGTAGGCGTTCATTTCTAACTCAGATTCAGTAAAACTGTGGGCGGCACACAATCGGCTTTAGAGCCCTTTGGTCTATTCACGGGACACCATTTGGTTGGACGTTGCTCGGAGTGCATGCTCAGAAAGATGCTTGAGGCAAACTTTCTCAGGTATTAGCGGCGAGATGTTTTAGTGGTGCCTTCCTACGGTTCCCCCTTGTGACGTCATTACCTTGCAAACAACAAGTTCGATGGTGTTTGTAAATAGCATGGTGGAAGCTTGAAATCATTCATGTCTCAAAGGAACACTGCCACACCATCATAATTAAAGTTTTTTCATTCCTCTTAATTCCGTCGATGATAAATCCTTTTCTGACGTCATAGTCAGCGTTCGGCCAATCGTGGAAGGCCGACCACAGCGACGCTCTCGGTCGCGCACGTCGCCGATTTCAGAAGACACGAGCACCGCGCGAGCACAGATTTGATCGGCGCCCAAGGTCTGTGAGCGCACGATACTCACGGCTTTGGTTTCATCAAAGCATCCTCTATTGGCGACGTGAGCGATCGAAAGCGTCGCTGCGGTCGGCCCACCGCAATTGGCCGAATGTTGACTACGACGTCAGCAAAGAATGTCTCATCGACGGAAATAGGAGGAATGAAAGAACTTCAATTTTGACGGTGTTGGCAGTGTTGCTTTGAGGGCGCTATGATTTCAGGCTTCCACCATGCTCATTACAAACACCATCGAACTTGCTGCTCACAAGGTAAAAACGTCACGAAAGGTAACCAAACGAGGGCGCCACCGAAACATCTCGCCGCTAATACTCACAAACCCTGGCAGTTCGATGACGGAGCCATAGAGTGCCCGATTGCCGATTTGCAGCGCGAGGATCTGGTATCACAGAGCATTTCTCGGGGAGTCTGGTATTGAGCGCACAGCTTTTGCAGCGGTGAGGACCCGAAACATGGTTTTCAAACCCGACGAGAAAAGGAGCGGACACTCCATCGCTCGGGAGAAGTGTGTTTCGGCGTCTCGACGCAGTGGGTCGCCCGTTACGTGACTCTTGTCTGCCTCTCTACCTTTTCACTTTCGGCGGCCGCGTCACGTGAAGATCTGTCAGGCTTTGTCAGTATAGAAAAGGCTGTGGTTTCACGGACTACAAGGAATGCAAGAAGATGCGCGTACAAGTACAACGTCCCATCCACACAATCAGAATCGTCGTTCTCGGGAGACGATAAATGGTCCAGCAACATGGCTATCCCGTGAATACCCTTTTGTAAACCTTTCTCGAGGTGTCTGTGTGAGTCGGAGCTTTGTTCTCACTGCAGGTTCTCCTTCACCATCGAGACGAAAGTGATCGTGAAAGCTCTCATATTGAACAATTCCTTGCGCCGTTGTCTCGCAAAAGTGACGGTGACCTACAAAATACAAGTTTATTACCGCCATATTGATATGACAAAAGCTAAACTGCTATACGAGCCGTTAGATGGCACTGAATTTCAGAAAGGTTCAGTTGTTTCCGGCGACAACCGCTAGGTGGCAGCGTCGCAAGGAACAATCGGAGGGCCAATATTACAGAGACTATCCAACCGTTCACTCGGGGTCACGTGGTTAAGGGGCCGCGTTTGCAATAGCAGCTACAGGTAACGGAACGCGTTGGTCGTCCGCGAGCGTCTCCGCCTTTCCGCCTGCTATCCTCCTAGCCGCGCGCGGTGCATGCGCATTTTCGACCAATCTCCGAGGGAGTCGACCGCCATTTTATTACAAACGCTCCCCATGGTTTGAGTTGGACCCTCTCTACAATCTAGGCTCTCTACGAACAATAGGCGACAAAGGCGACGTCTCCGGCGTAATCCATTTCTATTTGGTGACCCGTGGCGCATAACTATTTGTGCAGGAGGACGCTGGTTTCTTCTTTTTTTTTTTTTGTTGTTGTATATTGTCTTTTTTCTAGAAAACGAGTAGAGATTTTTCAAAAAGTGTTCTCTCAATGCGTCTTCTTTTTTTGCCTTTCCATGAAGCCACTTCGAGTAACGAGTGCCATCATGCGAGGAAGATGAACTCATATTGATGCCACGCAATGTTGATTTTGAATAGAGAGAACAAAGAAGAGGCCACCACGGGCTCGAGGCATTCTCCCCTTCCTCGTGGAAACAGTCTGTTCGATCTGCTCAGTTCATTTCTGTACGGCGGCAACACACTCCTCCGTATAATCAGTCAAACCGACCAACACTCCAATTTGAATCCATGAAGAAGCAGCTGAAGATCCGGGAGAACAAGGAGGACCTCAGGGAGGGCCCAGAGGAACTCCCGAAAGGTGCACCGGGCGACCAATCGGCCGAGGAGCCGTTGTTTGAACACCTCCCAGCCAATACCGTCAAACCCGCAAGGAGACCATCGAGCCAAAAATTGGCAAAGATCCCGTCGTTTGAATACCGCCGAGCCAGTACGTACCAACCCGCAAGAAGAGCATCGGGCGAGAAATCGGCCAAAGACCCGGTGCCTGAAAACCGCCCAGAGAGCACCACCCCATCCGCAAGAAGACCGTCGGGCGTCTCGAGGCAAAGGGTCAGGCAGATGAGCGATAAGGTGAGTACCTACCACTGTTGGCGGTAACGCGTTACAAATAAGGGCGTTAGTTGGAACGCGTTCCATTTTCTGTAACTTTGTAACGTACTCGTTTCATTTTCGCAGCATTAACGGATAACGTACCTACGTTACTTATTTTGAGTAAGGGTTAACGCAGTTATGTTAGTCGTTACATCTTCTTTCTAGGAAATAAAAAAAAATTACTTTCAATTTCTTTCGCCGAGTCATATAAAGTGCATTTTTCGAGTTTTTATTTGCGTTGTTTCCTCGCCAGTATTCAGGTGGAACCGTAAAAAGATAAAGTAATAATGTCAACTTTATGCATTAACATATGTTTTTTGAAATATGGCGCTTATGTATAGCTGTAACGTCAAAACAGTAAAACTTTTCATTCAAAATGCAAAGTCAGGAAAAAGTGACGTGCGCTACGTTTTATTGCTAAATGTAGCGTTCCTTTTACATTAAAGTAACGACTAATGTAATGAGTTACTTTTTTTCGGCAATTCCTACAACACTGGTATTTACCTTTTCTTGATTTACTTCGCACGCTATACTCGGAAATGATTATTAAAAAAAGAGGGGTACGCTTTCCCGAGCTACACGAAGCCAGATGTTTACGGCGTCAAATCACTGTGGCAAGCCAGCGGCCTTTTATCCGTGGCTCCGGTATCTGCATTCGAAGATGCGCATTAAAATAGTTCGATTCGGAAGTATCCCAGCGAGTGCCGAAGCTCAGCATAGTATTCTCAGTATTCACTAATGGCGGCTATATCTGAGTCCAGGGCTGCTGAGCACGTGCTGATGGTCAGTTCCCAGAGTTCCCTTAGAACGGGCATTCCACGCCATCAAGACAGTTGGTGTTATAGTAAAGTCGCTGGATCCTGGGAAAGGAGCGTCATGTTGGCTTCCTTGCCTGCAGACAGGACGCAGAGCTCGTTCTAAGCATGCGCTGTCAACAGCGCACCAAATTAAGGCACCCAGAGAATTCACCCCCCCCCCCCTCCCTTTTACATAGGGCACTTTCATCATCTTGCGCTGTCTCCAAAAGAAGGAATATTCGAAAATATGCTAGATAAATGATCCTTATACCGATCGATTTGGTCTTTGGGTGGTCTTTGTTCCACTGGACCGGTGAGATTTCATTCATCCAGATATTTCCGAATATTCCCCCTGTACAGGGTTTACACATGACATGGTAGCCATCTTATTAGTCGTCATTCCTACTTGTTCGTTTTTCAGAGGGGATCGAGGAACATTTGGTGGCACTTCAATATATGCTGCAGATGGTACCCGTGCAGCAGTAAGGTTTTTCACAATGAACGCTGTTGTGGCGTTACGACAGACCATTCGTACAATTAGATAAAAAAAAAAAAAAAGAACGCGCCATAGACGCAGGGAAAATTAGCACGGTGCTTAGCTTGTTCGCCACTCCTGCGCACATCAGTATTTTTCAAGTCCTACCATAATTTGCGAGACGTCATCGGCTGGGATCATTCTAGCCTAACCTTACTCATTCATTTGAATCTCATCTAACTCAGAGTTAGGTTAGAAAGTACGCTCCGATTAGTGCTTTAGTGCGTATGCTTTGGGAATGGCCCTGCACGCAGAGCTTCAATCACTGCATGCGATTTACGGAAAAAGCTCGGTGAATATGATGGTGCCAAAAAAAAAGTTAACCTAAACTTAAAGTTTGTGACGCGAAACTGACGTTGCGTTCGCGTAATATGAATAGCTCATTTACATCGCATCTAAGTGGCACACAGATTGTCCAAAGGTGCAAGATCTTCAGTGTAAGATGTACATTTCTCTAGCGCAAAGCGAAACAGATGTCCTGCCCCAAACCCAGCGCCTCTTCGGGGCGGACTGCCTTCTAGCCCGGAAGTCAAATTCGGTGCATGCGACCCTTTCACCGCCAATGAGTCGTCGGTGGCGAAAGGAAAAGGAAGGCGATAATTTGGCTCGTCCATTTAGTCACTCTAGCTTCGCGTAAATACCATCGATAAAATGCGTGCCTTATGTTTCTCCCAAGTTCCGGCAACCACTGTTGGGAGAACGCGCGAACCACGTCCCTCGAGCGAGTGTTCCGTCGCAATTCGCTTC